TTTTTTTGTTTTGGTTTTTCATGTCTAAAAACAAAAAAATCTCAAGTGTTATCAAATATGCATTTTGTTTTATATAAAATAAAATTAAAAAATAATAATAATAACAAAAGAAAAAAATAAAAAAACAGAAGAAGGATCCCAAACGGCACCACAGAATTTATTCTTACTTGGTACCACACGGAGACAGCAAGTACAATAATAAAAAGAATGAATACTGTCCAGGAAACTTGGCACATTAGAATTATGATGCAAATGAGCTGCACAAGCGCAAATACCAATCCAGCTAGTCTGTATGGAATGTCTGTATCCAGTATACTTTGGTCTGTAGAAGTCTGAAAAACAAAAAACTATAACTATAAACTAGAAAATTTATAAGAAGAGCTCGATTGTTTTAATTTCCACGATTTAGAAACCTTACCCTATTAATGATTCGACTTGTAGGCGTTGAATCGAAAAAGAAGATGGGAGCCCGGAAAAGTTTTGTAGTCATTTTAAGGAAAATACATTGTGCCGTCTCAATTGCTATTGTTGCCAGTAACACTGCCCTCCCCAGCATAAAAAGAGAGCTACCTGCAGACAGTAGAACAAATATTCCTATCAACTTTCCCCTGCTTATTCTATCATTCTTTTCGGTTGCCCAGGCAATCCAGTAATTGCTGGCCATCTGCAGTCCCTGGAAGAGAATTTGACAAAACAGAATTACTGGAACTAGTGCTCCCTTATATGATGAAGTCACAAATGTGCGGTAAATGCTATATTTAACCCGTCCAGATTCCCTCTCTTCCTCATGAGTACGGTACAAGGATTCACTATTTCTTATCTGATTGATAGGTTTCTCTTCAGTTAACTCAAAATCAATTTTCCTATATGGTTTTATTGCTGCAAGGTTATGCTCCATATGCGGAATAACTTGGTTTAGTGACTTCTTATGTGCTGCAATTAGTCGCACGAGCTCACCATCAACACTGGCTATTAACTCTTCGTACTTCCCAGACTGTACGATCTTTCCATCCTTCATAACCTGAAAATATTTGAATATGGTACTTCTTAAACTAAATACTTCCAACTCATACAGCTTCAATAAATTGTATGCCATTATGGTATTTATTTTTCAGCCGTTTCCATTTATTTTTTAGGAGAATTACATACAAAGCACTTGCTATTTACAAATCCAGCACGCAGGTGATTTTGTGATCAACCAAACTGATTCATTTACATGTGCCACAATCAAATCACCGAGACTTTCATAAAAATGATGAAGTGCTAATTTACGGTATACAAGGCATTTCAGTTCATAACTTGCCAAAATGATTGATACATATAAGAGCAGTAAAGTGTTAGAATCACCAGTATAAGGTCAGCAGCATCCAGGAATTCCAGCTGGTGTGTGACATAGATGACGGTTTTACAAGACAAGAGTTGCGTCAGACATTCCTGCATTTCGAAACTCTATATCAGTGATGTAATGAAGAACGTGTTGATTGATAAGAGGAAAAAAAAAAAAAAAA